TTCCTTCATTTAAATGTTTTTGTTTATTACGTTTGTAGTTCACTAAGAATCCGCCGTTTGTAGTTCACTTTATATTTTTATTATGAATCCGCCGTTTATAGCTCACTTTCAATTTGTACTCAGAATCCGCCGTTTTTTGTTTTGTTCACTTTATCTTTTCACTAACCATCCGCCGCGGAGTATCAACCGTACTGCCGCAAAACAAAAAAACCACGCGACTTCCAAAGCAACCAAACAGTTTTTTTATTTCGACTCCGTTTTTTTTCTCCTCCGGCCATCGAACTCAACTTTCCCCTTTTTTTTCTCACCTTGCGATTTTAAGCTGCACTCTCAACTTTGGCGAAAACGAAAATGTAAACACCAGTCAACATGTTATTTATCTCATTGTTATTTTTTTTTTGTTGTTTGATTTCTTTTATACATATGTTTGTTGCCAGTGTTTAATATATATTTTTTTTTATTTATTTATCAGAATAAAGGTGAATATAAAAAAAAATATATATATGAAAAAAAAAACTGTAAGAACAATTTTGTTTTGACAAAAACCATAAAAATTGATCATTACAATACCGTTTTAGTTTCAGATGAAAAACTTTGTCGCTTGCACTTTTTAGGGCATGATTTAGATTTTTCTTTGAGGCCCGTAGCTTTGAGTCAAAGCATGACTTAGAAGTATAATAAGGAGGCATAAAGGACTTAGCAATAACCATTTCTGATGCTTGAGTGGATTTTTGTATAGAGGTTGTAATTAGATCATTTTGTTGGTCATTGGATAAAGAAGAGAAGTGATGATTCATGTTCAATGATTCAAGACAGCGGTTCATGTGTATTGTAAAAATATCAGACTTATTTATATCCTATTTTAATCTGGTTTGCTTTCAAGAAGTTACATTTGTACAATTTATATTGCTAGTACCGATAGGGAATTCAAGTTTTAAGATTATATCATAATATGGTTTAATGTACAATGAGCCTAAAATAAAATAAAAGTATTAATACAATAAAAGCTAAAAATCCACAAATTTGTTTTGCTTATTTCGATGGTTTTTGCTAAATTTTTTTTAACAAGAGATACATGCCACCACTAGCTCTACCAGTGGACTTTTCCCTTGTTGGTTGGGCTGTCTGCGCATCATAGTTGCACCAAGGACTGAGGGCAGTATTGAAAGGTATATTCCAAAATGTTATTTGAAGCTCAAAAAGATTGTATGTAGATGCTGTATTTCGTGATGTTGATGGAGCGTCATCTGTAGTTGTTGTTAATGTGCTATATTCGTTCTTTAGTTTTTTACCATATGGTTGTTTTGATCTAGCTCATTCATGATGCTTAATAAGTTAAGATTAAGGTTTTCAAGTTTATTTCCATACATAGATTGGACAGTAGTAGTTGCCTCCACATTGTTACACTTCAGGATTCCGCTTTTGCTTCATTTGCACCACTTGTTTCCAATGCGTATTCTATCATTTCGAACGACCACCTTATGCGAACGATCTATTGAAAGAATTTTTTTCCTTATTAAGAGAAGAGCTTTTCTATGCCGTTATCTGTCTTCGTCAGATCTTTTTCAATCAACTGTGTATGTTTTGGAAAACCAGGCTAATCGATTCTTCTGACGTTTATTTTTCCGCTGTGATATGACTCTAGCTATACGGACTACAATGTTTATGCCAAGAGTTTCTTTACACAGTTTTGTGACAGCTTCTTTTGGTGACAGCTGATCTGAACCATTGTTTTTTGTATGTCCTGCAAAAGCTCCGACACATCCATACTGCCAACAGATTGTAGGTCACCTTTGTTGGGTGACACTTCTGAGACAGTACGTTTTGCTGCTGAGCCAGACATTGTATCGTTCATTAATTTGGTGGATTTGGATGGAGGGCTTCTTCCAATAGGCATTATATTTTTCGTGGTCGATTTCTTGATAAAAATTTTTTTAGATTGTTAAATGGACGCGGTTTGAAAACGAAAATTATTAGGTTTTTGAGTAGGTTTTTAAATGTTGTTTACCAATATTTAATTTATTGAATTTAATTGTTTACATTCCGCACTCTGTATTATGCAACCGGTCGCTTCGAACGCTCAACTCAAACTCATATTTTTAAAGTTACAAACACAAAGTTTTATTTGTAATTAATTAAATAACAATTTTGTAATTCCAAATTATTACAATGTAATTTACTAAAATTAAAATTATGTATGTGTATGTATATTTTCGTTGTATGTGGTGTTTTGCTGATTTTACCGTCGCTTCCATTAATCCTCGAAAATGAGGTGCCCTGGGTGGTATGAAGACAAATTCTACGCCCCTTTGTGCAGCATAATATGCCAGATCGTCCTTGCGCTCTTGGAACGCCTCTATCAGCTCTCTCAGATAGTGATCGGCATCTATAAAATTTGTAGCATTGTCGCAATAGATTTTTTCTGGGAGTCCTCATCTTCCGGCAAACCTTTTAAGACAAAAAAAAAACAGTTAGTAGTCAGATCTGTTACAAGTTCTAGATGTATAGCCTTTGACGTGAAACAAACAAACACTGCTATATACATTTTAACTGGTGGTCGACCACGCATTTTCAAAGTAGTGTATACAGGCCCACAAAAATCGACACCGCTAATTCAAAAAGGTCATAGTGCCTTTAACCGAATCGCAGGTAAGTTTCCCATTACTTGGGACAACAGCTTAGGTTTGTATCGAAAACAATGTATGCATGCTTTTACGGTTTTACTGCATGCCTTGCTTGAATTTATGACCCAAATTTTTTCACGAAGCAGCACTTCTAAGGCTTTTGGACCAGCATGACAATTGGTTGTATGAAGAAATCGTAAATAAATCTCGACAAAATGCAATTTTTTGGTAACAGCAAGGTAAATTTTGAATCATAAGAGAGTGGTGCGTTTAGTAAACGACCTCCTACACGAAGCAAATTGCATGTTCGAGAACCAGCTTGGACTGTATGAATGAACGGTGTTAGTTTTTGAATGCTAATTGGTAATTTATGCGACTTCTTCATTTTTTCGATCTCATCCCTGAATTCGTGATTTTGAATGAATTCAACGATTTTCAAGAATGCCCAATTAAGCTCCTTTGTGGTCGGAATAAGAGCGTTAGCTCTCTCATTTTTCTTAGTCATAAAACGTAGAATGTACGCGAAAATTCTCAGCAGTCTTGGGTAAGATGATTGGCTACAGATTAGTTTTGAAATGACATTAGTTTCAATTTCAACTGCTAAAAGTCCGACCTTGACCTTTCGTTTCTCCAAACTTTTTTCATCTATTGATAGTGGAAAATGACTATTTTTTGGCCAGTTAGTGGCATCTTGAAGCAAATATGGGGGACCTTTGAACCATATTGAGGTATTAAGCTCGTTGACAGTATAACCTCTGGAAACTATGTCTGCTGGATTTTGTTTTGACGGAACGTGTCTCCACAAAACGTCGTTTGATCATTTTTGAATTTCTGAAACTCGATTTGCCACAAATGTTGTGAGTGTAGACGGATGACTCTTGATCCAATATAATGTAATTTCTGAGTCAGTCCAAAAATATGCATTCTTGACGGCACAAGTAATGAGTGGTTGTACTCGAGTCCATAGTTTAGCCAGAAGGTGACCTGCACATAATTCGAGTCTGGGTAAAGACTTTGTACTGAGCGGAGCGACCCTTGATTTAGCAGTGTTGTAAGGCCCAAATTTTATTCTAAAATTTAACGCCACAAATTAAATGAATAGTCAAATATGAGTTTTAAATCCACTTAGTAAAAAAACATGTTTCTAAATTCAATAAAATTTTCCTACAGTAACATCCATTTTTATTATAAACAAATGACCCTGTATTTTCATATTAGAGACAAACATTTTGTATAAACGAATGACCCTGTAAAGTAAAATATGTTTTGATTAATTTTTTGCTGCTAATAAAAGTTAGTTAAATTTGTTGTAACTATTTCACTTGTTTGTCTGCATAAACAAATTTAAGAAAATATCGTGCACGCATTTTTTATATGATGCAGTTATTTTTATTGAATTTGATTACAATGCGTACAACAATAAGAAATTTGTTTTGACAAATTTACGGGACCTTGTTTACTTGAAGATAATTTTTGTTTTTGCCTGTAATGGAGGGAATTTCAAATAAAAGGGCAGCGAAATTGCCAAATCGTTTTGTTAGGGACGATAGTGGGAGCTCGGACTAGTTGGTCCAGGCACATATTGATTCGTTTGGCCATTGCTGACGATCACCATGTGAATGGATGGACTGGTTTGGGCGAAGTGATGGTGGTTGAATTACCTTCTGCTTGGCTTATGCTGGCGTAGGGTAGTTTAACCAGTTGAGTTACCTGCTGCTTGGCTTATGCTGGCGTTGGGTAGTTTAACTAGTCATCCAGTTTTCCATTTGGCCATAGCTGATGGAGGAATGGGCGACGAGTCACCAACACTGTCAGAAGGCGTGTGGACAACGAGCGTAACAGTAGGAAGGAACCCTTGTCTGGCTTTTGCTGACAAAGGTATTGCTTTATATTGATATTAGAGTATCTAGAGATTTTTGCTATTTGGAATTTCTCCTGTTACAGGTTAGCAACTTGCGCACCACTGCAAGCAATCGTCATACGACATTTCACAACATTCTACACCGTTTACAACATCGTGACAACGTTTATGACATCATACAACATTTCACAACATCCTACACCGTTTACAACATCGTTACAACATTTATAACACCATACAACATTTTACAACATGCTACACCGTCTACAACATCATTACAACATTCTACATCATTAGCAACATTCAACATCGCTTTCCACAACTTGATTATATTTTCTTTTTATTGTTAAATAATAAACGCTACTTTAAACAGAAGTGTCTCTATTATTTTACTTAGATAAATTTTCTTATAACGAACCCTGGTATACTCGCTGAGTATACCTCAGCTATAGATAGGGCCGGGGAAAGGTCGTTACAGTGTGCAACGCTGGATGGATACCATTAGAGTCGTGAGCTTATGGCTGATGTAAATACAACAGCCATAAGCTCTTATCGAAGCGTCTGCGAAACCGTGAATTTCGCATTTGGAATTTGGAATCACATTTACATATCATATATGCACCTTGACACATACATATCGTGTCAAGGTGGATAGGTATCGATTCATCCCAATTAAGTTTTTGAAGCCAAAGTTCGTGCAACAATATTTTTGCTTTAGTGATAATTGGGCAAATCAAACCGAGGGGGTCGAAAAGTCGAGCTGAAACCGACAATATATTTCTCTTTGTCGCTCGTAAATGATTGAATTTTTCTTCTAAATGAAATTTGAAAATATCACTCTTTGGCAACCAATGGATTCCAAGGGCCTTTGTAATATCACTGTCATTGACTTTGAACGGTTTTTCTAACAGCTCGGTGCTTCCATAGGCTGAGTGGTTTGAGAACCATTTCGCTAATTGACATCCTGCTTCATTGAGAATATAACTGACTTCTTTTCGAATTGTTTCTAAATTTTCAAATTTATCCGAACCAGTAAGCAAATCATCGCCATAAAAGTCATTGCGTATTGAGTTTGCTCCCCTGGGATAAATAAGTTGATAAATATCGTTCAAATGGGTTAAGCAGCCAGTAGCTAGGAATGGTACAGATGACGTACCATAAGTCACAGTGTTTAATTTGTACACCTTCAGTTCTTCGGACGAATTTTCTCTCCAAAGTATAAGTTGAAAAGTTCTGTCTGCCTCGTCAACTTCAATTTGACGGTACATTTTAACAATGTCAGCAGTTATTGCATACTTATGCATGCGGAAACGAATCAGGATTGAATACAAATCTTCTTGCACGATCGGACCGACCATTAGTAGATCATTTAATGACTTCTGCGAAGATGTTCGACTTGATGCGTCGAATACAACCCGAAGCTTAGTAGAGGTGCTCTGTGGTCGCAGAACACATTGATGGGGTATGAAGTAGTGAGTGGTTGCAGAAAAATTCTCGTTGGTTGGTGTCATATGACCTAAGTTCCGATATTCTTTCATAAAATCCATATAGAGATTCTGTAAAATGGAGTCTTTCGAAAGTTTGCGCTCTAATAATAGAAAACGGCTTCTTGCTGTTTGGAATGAGAATCCTAAA